GTTATACTTTCTCCTGATGAAACACCAAAATTTCAAGCATAAACAGGTTAGTAATGTGACCAAGTAAACAGCTCTGGAAGACGTTATCTCCAGGTCAGCAATTTTCATGATGTTCTCTGAATCAACACCAGACAAGACAAGGCCTTGGCTTGTGACAATTGTGGAATGTTATGTTGTAAGAACATGACCGCCTTTATTCTAGTCCAGTACTTAACCTGAACAGTACAAAGAATGTAGTTTCATTCCAAGTCATTTGCGTAATACTTAGTTCTTTATTTCTGGTTTAGCACATCAGTTGTTTCTAACCTCTCATCACCCATGTCCATGTACTTCTCTTTCAAAACAGAACAGGTACATTGGCAGTCTCCAGGGTCCAATGACCTATTTGAATTGTAAAGCTTCCTTGGAATTCTCAGAGAACTGACCCTTTGGTGATTTCTCTAGTCCAGCATCTTTCATTTCTGAGACAAAGGAGTGTAATATGGGGCAAAGGAGGTATTTCTGCTCTTCTTTTGAATGACGCTGGTATACTAACCAATTTGAGAAGCTGGCCTACCAACCAGATCCTTGAGGTTCTCCCACAGAAATATCTCCCTGTTTGCAATAGTCAAGGAATGACAATAATATTTCATAGTGAGATGGTCTGTGGGTGGAGACAGTCAGATATGTCCAACTGGGCTCATACTCTATACTCTCAGAAAATTACAATCCTATTTTTAGCCACCCAAATTTTATTTTAAGCTTGAAGTTCGTGGAAAATTTGTTACACAGTAACAGAAAACATATGCATGTGTCTTTTCATTTTGTGCTGTAGATTGTAACTGTCCAGTATTGTTTGTCCTTCCCTGGTACTTGAATCAGCAAAGATCTATTATAAAGAGCTGCACAGTAAACATTTTAGGCATTTGGGGATTTGTGATGTCTGTTTTTTAATGTATGCTTTTATTGAATTTTTATGCTTTTCATACAAAACATATTAATCATCTCTATACCCCTCCCGCATCTGTACCTGTCCATAGTGCCCCCAGTTGATTCCATGAATTCTATCATATATGTTAAGGCCTATGGAGTCAAGAGGCCTTAAACAAGATCAATTCTCCCTCGACCAGCAGTAAGCTGCCAATAGTTCCTCAGCTAAAGTTGGGGCCTGATGCCAATTTCACCAGATTTATGTTAGGTTCTAGATTTTGTGAGTTGCATGGGTCTTGTAGATGCTGACATCACTGTTAATAGTTCATATGAACAAGGTCCCAGGAGCATGCACGTCTCTGTTTCCTTATGGGCATGCACCTGCTCCTATAGCTCTTCCAATCTTTCTGCCCCTTCTTCCACAGTGGTTCCTGACTCCCAGGTGGAAAGTCCAGAGACCCACACTGCAGATTCTTACTCTCTAAACTTCGGCCATTTGTCAAATTCTGTGTCCATTGCCTTTTATTGCAGGAGGAAGCTTTGCTTATGCGAACTGAGAGATGGATTAGAAATTCACTGAGCCCCTTGTTCCACTATGTTCAATGAGTCTTAGGTGTAGAGGTTCCATTGTAGAAATATCTCTTAAGGTTGGGTGTTTCACAGACACTTATTCTGCATTTGACCAGTTGTGGAATTTTATAATAGTTTCTGACTATTCCAAAAGGAGCTTCTTCGATGAGTGGTGATGGGGATAATTGTATGTAAATATAAGGATCCATGTTTAGCATACATTTAAAAATTATGTTTGTTTAGAGGTATGACAGACGTAGGGTTTTCTCTAAGATCTATGACCTCTCCAGCCATGTATGTTGGGCTAGTTACAGTGCCACATATTGAGTTCTCAGTTGTTGAATGGGCTTTAAAGGCAATGAAGTAGATGTTGATTACCCCAAAGATAAAACTTCCACTACTGTATCAATATACTTTGCTGTACTGGTCATTGTTTTGGTTGTTTGGTTTCAAACCTTAGATTGAACCACTGAGTAAATTCCTCCATTATCAGCTTACACAGTGTCCTCTAGTATCAGTTCTTAACAGATCAGCACCTGCATTGTGCAAGAAGTAAATAATGGCTAGATGTTTTAGCTCCTGGTGTACTGCTAAAACCATAGGTACATGGTGAGGAAGTCATGAAGACAGAAGCTTGAGAGTCCTGGTCATATTCATTTCCAGCCAGGAATCCGATGGAGA